CATCTTCCTGGTACTCACTGTCGCTCTCCTTCCTGCCGGTTGTTTAAAGAGAAGCCTACAGATGCCTGGGGGATGATGACAAATTGTCTTTGACGTCCACAGCAGCCCTCCCAGGTGTGTGAGTAATGCTGTAGGCAGAGCATCTCCCTAAACCTCTGGAGAGAGCTACAGGAAATTGCAGTGTGTTGCAGGGAGCTTTGATGCCAGAGAGAGTGAGACAAGACAGTGTTCAGACTAGTGCAATTTAGCTCCCTTTCCATGGGAGATTACAGACCAGCTTCAGAGTGTATGTCTGGGATCTGGTCCACTCCTGTGGCTGGTCACCTCGGCTGCTCTTTTCTTCGCTGCTACACGCCCCCGTTCAGCTGCACCCATATCACTTCCTGGAACGGAAGAGGAGGCAGCTCTACCTGTGTTTGGTGGGAAGGATGAGGCTTCTGTCTTATATCCAGCTTGGAGTGTACTCTATTTTCCTAAGTCCATAGAAAAGATCGATCGACCCTGGAGGGGATGACTGAGCCTCTGACAGCATTTACCTCTGACCCTTAACCTCGGCAAAGGAAAATGACCTGAAGAGTCATTTACAAATTATTTTCAAAAAAGCGTATTTGCGTGTGCATGTCTGCGCGTTTGTGTGGGTGCAGGCACATGTGTACATGCGTGTGCATGTGGAAGCCAGAGATCTCCATCTCTGGTTTTGTCTTGTTTCATTTTTTTTGCTTGGTTTTGTTTTGTTGAGATAGAGTCTGTCACGGGCCTGGAGTTTTGGGATTAAGTAGGCTGGTTGGCCACCACCTGCCAGGGTTTTACCCAGCTTTAAAGATGCATGTCTGGAGCACTAGAGAGATGGCCTAGTGGTTAAGAGCATTGGGTACTCCTCAAGAGGACCTGGATTCGAGTCCCACCACTCACATGGCACCGCACAACTGTCTGCAATTCCAGTTTTAGAGGCTATGACACCCTCTACTGGTCTCCATATGAGGCCACAGACATACAGACATACATGCAGGCAAAGCATGAGATTAAAACTTTATATATTTTACTTATCTTGTTTTACCTAAATCCAAAATGTTCAGACAATTCCTGCATTGGGTAGGGATGGTGGCTGGATGTCCTGGGTGCTTGCCTTTTGCCAGCCAGCATTCTAAACACTTCCCGAAGAGTATTTTCCCTTGATCTTCCTCAGACCCTGGATAGTGGATTAATGTCCCCACATCAGACCTGAGGACAATCACACTTGGCCTGTTCAAGGACCATATTCGTGGTGTTCAGTGATTTGAAACCAGAGTTAGCTTCCATCCACCATTCTTCCCCTCCACAAGGTGACAGTTTTAATGTGAACTGGAATCCCCTCAAGGCCAGGTGAAAAATGAGATTGCTAACCTCATCTCCATGGCTGCTGGTCCACAAGTGGCCTGAAAACTTGCAGCCTGAACAAGCTCCCAAGTGCTGTTGACTGGCTGGTCTGGCAAATCCTGTTATCTCACTATCTCGCTTTCAGAAGAACTGTCCAGGCCTGGGTTGGGGGTAGAGATGAGGGTCATGGGTAGGGATGAGAATGGTGGATAGGGATGAGGGTGGTGGATAGGGATGAGGGTGGTGGATAGGGTAGGGATGAGGGTGATGGGTAGGGATAAGGGTGGCTCAGTGGGTCAAATGCTTGCTATGCAAGCCTGGAGTCCTACGTTCAGATCCTCAGCACCCCTGACATTGCCAGGTGAGCGTGTGTGCTTGTAACCCCACAACTGGGAGGTAGAGACAGGCAGATCCTGGGGGCTCACTAGCTAGCCAATCTACCTAAAAATTGAGCTTCCAGTTCAGTGTCTGGAAGATTAAGGTGGAGGAGCTGGGAATATGACTCAGCCAGCAGAGCCCCTGCCTGCCCAGCATGCACAGACCCTGGCCGTCATCTCCAGTATCACATGAACTGGAAGTAGTGGTAGCACACTCCTGTAATCTCAGCCCTTGGGAGACAGAGATCGGAGGATCAGGAGTTTAAGATCATCTTGACTGTAAAGCAGTTTTGAGGCCAGCTTGACTACATTAGCCAGGGTCTGAAAGCATAATAATCATGTGGACAAGTGATTGAGGAAGCTATCTGACATCGACTTCTAGCCTTCACGTGATCGAGCACCTCCTCACATAAGCATGTACATGTGGGAAAGAAAAGGAAGGGAAGAATGTTGCAGGGTATTTGATCCCATTGTGATCCCCCAAGATTGTGGACTGGAAAGCCCTGTTTCTTTGGTGTGGTTGAGCCCTATCACACACCTTTTATCCAAGAACTTTCTGTTTATTGTAAACTGGTGTGGTTCACCCAGCCCTACCACACACCTTTAATCCAAGAGGTCTCTGTATACCAGAGGTATACCCTCGGTCAAGATTTGGAGCTAGAAACCAGCTGACAGGGATTAAAGAGTAGGAGGGACTTTGAGTTGAGGGATATTTAAGACAGTGTGGAGAAGAAGAAGGAGCTTTTGGCTCAAGCTCTGGCTTTAGCTTAGGCTTCAGCTTCTCAGCTCTCTGGCTTTTTGGGCTGTTAACTAGCAAGCCTTGGCTTTTTTTTTTTTTTTTTTTTTGTTGTTGTTGTTGTTGTTGCCTTTTCCTCCTGGGCTGTCAGCTGAGCTAGTGATCCTTTTGGGTTTTTGGTTTTTTTTTGTTTTTGTTTTTGTTTTTTTTTTGTTGTTGTTGTTGTTTTTTTTTTTGGTTTGTTTTGTTTTTCCCATCCAGACCTGAACTGAGAAGGAAGGTCAGCTGGTTACTTTCTCCGCCTCTCTCAGCTTGCAGGTTTTCACCCCAGCACCTGGCTCCTGAGTCCTTACTGATAAAATAGAATGGTTGAGATTTTCATCATTGTACATAACAAGAGAACATTATGTTAAGTGCTAGCTTTGAAACCTTGAGTGGAAATGTCCCAGGCTGCAACTGACTGCTGACATGAGACCTGACCAGTACCTGCCAAAGTGTCTTGAGAGCATCTTTTCTTAGGAGATGGTGTCACGAGACACTGGTAATTGACCTGTTGGGGGTAGTATTCCGGTATTCCCTAGGCTGCTTGACATTTCTGAGAACTCAGTCCACTGCATCATCATTAAAAAAAAAAAAAAAAAAAAAAAAAAAAAAAATCATACTCCAGGGTTTACTCAAACGGGCCTTCCCTCCCCCCCCCCCAAGCTATGCTTGGTTCATTTTATTCCAATTCAGTCAAACCTTCTATGTCAGATTGTGTGTAAACATCACTATTATCCTGGTGAACTACAACCTGTCTAACGGGCAGACAGGTTTATTGCCAAGAAAGATCAGCAGATCTCAGAGCAGTTCTCTTCTCTGAATCCTACAGACCTCCTTAAGCAATTTTTTTTTTTCTGGTTGTGAAAGAAAAATCACTTAAAAGTTTTCCAGTTTCAGCCACTTTGAAACCAACAGGTGCTCTGAGGACAGATTTTCGTGTTGTTTTGAATGCTTGTGGTTTGCCTGAATTAAGATGTGAACAGCACATTTGAAACCTGACGTGAAGCTGATTGGCAGATAGTCTGTCCTGAGGCTCCCGGTGCTAGGAAGAAAAGCTCTGGCATCTTACCCCTTGGCCACTTGCTAGCAAAGATAATAATGCAGATGTGAATCCACCAAGAAATGCTCACTATTGTCCAACAGGTGGATTCAGGGGAAAAAAAATACCTGTCCTCAAATCTGGTGCAGTGGGCTTTTATTCCTTTGTTATTGTTGTTGTTAGCATGTATTAATTGCATATAGTACTGGATTTTATGACATTTTCATGCACATGAAGAATGTAATTTGATCATAATCACCCCTCCCCCTCATGCTGGTTCCAGTGAGTTTAATTAGAATTGCTTCTAAGCTGCAGTGATCTCGCTCTTGGAAATGGGACAGGATTCTTGGGGACTTCAGTGTACAAACATTCTAAAGGAAAATACAGACTCGGGGTATGTGGGACTCCTTGGATTCCGTTTTCAAATACCTCAAAAAACATCATTCCCTCTGGGAGACCCTAAAATGTATGAATTGTCCCATGGCTTCCTGAGCCAAGGAACAGCTTTTATTTTTCTATCAATTGACTTATTTCTTACTTATTTTTGAGCGACAGGCTCCCCATTCTGGTTTGCGATGCCACCTGTGGCCAGTCCTGAGGTTGAATTTTGTACTAGCTGACCAGGGACCCTCTTTCGAAGCTTCTGGCTCCCAGCCAGTCTTAACTGGACGCTTTTCCCAGAGGGGCAAAGACACCTTGTTTTTCTTCTGAGCCCACAGCTGCTCTGGACAGACTGGCCTCGTGGAGGGGTCAGGGAACTTGCTTTGCTGGTGGCCGTAGCAGGCTGGCGTTTTCTTGGAGACCCTCAAGTGAGGAGCAAATAGCCTAGAGGCGCTTACACACCGATGCTCTGAGGCTCTTCATCTGGCTTCAGCAGAGCCAAGAAAACACACACAATTCCCTCAGGAGTGAGATCTAAGGGGAGATGCTACAGGTTTTTTTTTTTTTTTTTTTTTTTTTTTTTTTTTTTTCCCTTCCCCTTCCTTCTTCATCTGTAGCTTTCCCCAGAGGTGTTTATCAGTGAAGTGTGGACCGGGTAAGATGCAAGGCAGAGAGATCTTATAGTGTTAAATAAAAGGGTTCCAGGGCTTGAGCTGGGAGTGTGTGTGTGTGTGTGTGTGTGTGTGTGTGTGTGTGTGTGTGCAGGCGCTTTGAAATGCAGCTCCGCACCAGGCCTGCAAAGAGTTCCCGGGCTTTGCCAGCGGCCCTGTGCCCTGGAGCAGCGCCGCGGGGAGTCCTCACCGGCCAGGACTTCCCGCGCCCAGGGAGCGCCCAGGGCTGGCCTGGCGGAGCTTAGGAGGCTGGAGCTGCGGGCGAGCGGGCGGGGTGACACAGCCTCCGTGCCAGCCGCAGCCGTTGGCTGGAGGGCGCCCAATCCCGGGGCATGCCGCCCCAACCTGGCTGGGACACGCAGTGAAAGGCGAGTTCGGTGACAGATCTGACCCCCGGGGGCTGTCGGCTGCGGCAGTGTGGCGAGCCCGGCATCGCGAGGACTCCGGGCTCCCAGGAAAAGCAGAGGCATGGCTTCGGTGTTCATGTGCGGAGTGGAGGACCTGCTGTTCAGCGGCAGCCGCTTCGTGTGGAACTTGACCGTGTCCACGCTGCGGAGATGGTACACCGAGAGGCTGCGGGCTTGCCACCAGGTGCTGCGGACGTGGTGTGGGCTGCGGGACGTGTACCAGGTGAGCCCAGGAGGCTGGCGCCCGCGGGGACCGTTGCGGGATGCCGGGCGCTCAGCCAGGGAGCACGTCCACCTGTATGATTTCATAACCTCGGGCTTCCTGTGTTTTCAACTCCTGGCAGGTAGCTTGGCGCTTGGGTCAGCAGCTCTAGCTAACTGTGGACTGACATTTTTTTTTTTTCCAGTTGGGCATGGGGGCACTTGGGAGTTACCCCCCTCCCCCCTCCGCTCCCGTCTCCCAGCAGACGGGAGCGTTACAAAGTGATGAAGGTTCCTGCAGGCACTAGTAAAGGGGTTGAAGCTTTGCAGCACAGCGTTCGTGGAAAGCGACTCTGAGCTTGAGAGGATTATTTTTATTCTATTTCATTTCACTGGGGGTGGCCATTTCGGAAGCTATGATTTCCCATCATTGCTTGCTGTCAGAGCACGTCTCGGTAAATTTGCCTTCTCCCTTCTGATGTTTCTGCACTTTTCCAGCAGGCAGCTTCGGCTTGCAGGGCACAGCCAGGAAGAGCTGATTCTGTGTCCACTGGCGTTGGGAAGGAAGGACAGTGCATTGTGAGCACATTGTGGGAAGCTGGCAGGCTAGGGAAGGGAAGGGAAGGGAAGGGTGTCTTGGCTGAGCGCTGGAATGCTTACGCTTGGATTTAATCTGTCACACAACACAGGCTCTTTATTGCTTTGCTGACCCCATCTTGCAGGCAAAATCTGTAGCAACTTTGCCCAGTATGGAGACCATTCATCCTTTCTGGGACTGCGACTTGCGAACAAGGATTTAAAAGTCCTCTGTTTTGATTATTAATACCTTTAAGATAAAAATAAAAAATAAAAACTATGTTGTTAAATTATGAAGATTTTTTTACCTGGGCTTCTTTCCTGGATATGGAGTAGTTTTGTTACAGTTCTTGGAATCCCTCTTACCCAATCTGACTCTATTCCTCATAGCACTGAAATATATGTCGCAGTGTGCCCCGTATGTGAGCAAGCTTTGATTTTTGAAAAGTCATAGTCTTCCGTCAAGCAGACAGAGGGAAGGGCATCTAAGGACAGAATGCAGGAGTTCTAAGGAATGAATGTTCCCTTGCCATCCTTGTTAGAATATAAAAAATAAATTCTAACCTGTGGTTTCACTGCTCCTGGTTTGCCTAACCAGGAGTCCGTGTCTGTGTCTGATATCATGCATTTTGAAATGAAACCAGCAGAGCACACTGAGAGCCCCGGAAACCCGTTGGGGCTTGAGAGCATTAGGGAACGGTGGATATGGCCCATTTGCCACAGGAAACTGCACTCCTGGCGCTGTGGAGCCAGACGTGTGTCTGTCTTTCAGGCCTTTTCTCTCTTGGGAAGTCTTGGCTCAGTTCAGTTTGGTTTGTACAGTTAGCACCCACCCCTCTCCCTGTGCTGTCGCCTTCTCTTTTGAATGGTCGAGGAACTTTCGAAAGGAGAGCACAGATGCTGTAGCCAACCAGACAGGCGCTGCGCCCCACTCCCCATGGACTCAGTGGATTTATGGCTTATTGCTATTGCTGTTATTGAATAATTGAGAGATGAAAGTTCCCAAAAACCCAAGGGTCTTTGGCTTCTCTAGAGGATCGATCCGTTGTTATTCATTTTAATTGTGAAAATGTTTTGTGTGTACATGTTCTTGGGTGCACGGATACACCCATGTATGTGGGCACGCAGTACCTATGCACACGTGTGTGGCCAGAAGTGCCACTCCACAGCAATACTGTCCACCTTAGTTTTGAGACAGGGCCTGTCATTGGCCTGGGGCTTGCTAGTTAGGCAAAGCTGGCTGGCCAGCAAGCACCTGTCTTTGCCTCCCAAGAACTGGTATTACAAGTGTACATCACCCATCATAAACCATTCATCTTAAACACAACAGCAATTTGAAAGGGTGAGCTGCTCAAATATTTGTTCTCCTCTGTGAAATAGGTGTTAACTGAGCCTGTCTCCTCTTATCCCCATGGTCAAAAAGCACATGCCAAATAAAGGTGGCTTTGTATGTATTGTGTCACAAGCAGAGAAAAACTATGACATCTACATTAAAGTTCCCTGTGCTTTGGAAAAGTAAGATTTAAAAAAACGAAAACAAAAAGATCATTTTTACCCTAGAAGAACCAGAATGAGTCACAGACCTAACTGCTTGATTGTTTGTAAAGATGTTTGTTTGCTGTTTTGAAACCCAGGGGCTTGGTCATTCTAGGTGAGTGCTCTACCTCTAAGTGCCATTGCTTGCTTAGAAAAAAAAAAAAGATTTCAAATGCTGAGCAATAAAATGGTGATGCAGGTTATATAGACTGAAAAGCAGTAAAGAAAATGATTTCTGCTTTCAGCTCCTGAAACAGACAAGAGATGAATCCAAGCTCTTTCTATGTGTGGCCATAGGGAAATCAGCCTTTCTATGCTTCATTTTCATCCTCTGTAAAGTGAAGAATAGAACAGCACTAATTAGAGAGGTTAATAAAGTTAATTGACACGTAGAATATTTAGCACACTACCTAGAGCTTAGAAAGAATCCAGTAGATAGTTATCTGTTCTATCGTCTAGGATTTTATTTTTTATTGTGGTAAGCAGCCAAACTCAAAACTAGCAACAGAGTAAAAGAAGTCATTACGACACAGCTTTCAACTCTACTTGGAGAATAAATGTGAGGTGTGGTTTGATGGGCAGAGGCGGGGGTTGGAGGTGGGGTGAGCACACAGAGCTTACTTCCCTAGCCCCAGTTATGCTCACGGATTGGGTTTAGCCTTGTTGGACTTCTTTCCTTCTGGCATCTGATAACTACAGCCCTTCATTAGGCCTACATATCAAGATAGCCAGAAAGAAACTGAATTTCTTATATCCCGCTATCAAAGGGTCCCTATGTATCCTCAGGGCTACTAATGTAGGGTCTGCCCACCCCAATGCCAGGCACCACTTTGATGCCATGCACTAATTGGCACAGGATTGCGCTTCGTGCATTCTCAGTGGCATGAGATGGCTCAAAAGGAGCAAAAGTGATTTCAGGGAGAGGTAGAAAAGAAGAAGAAACTCAGACTGGGGTATAGCTCATTGGCAGAACCCTTGCCCAGCATATGGGGGGGGCATTAGGTTCAATGTTCAGTATGTCAGTAGTAATAATACTGCACACATATACATACATACATACATAAGGACATATACAATGTACAGCATTAAAGATGAAAAAAGGGAGCCAGAGAGCTGGCTCAGCAGGTGAAAAAGCTTGCCCCCAAGTCTGATGACCTGAGTTCAATCCCCAGAACCAACATGGCGGAAAGAGAGGACAGACTGCTACATGCAAACACAAACAAATGGCTTATTTTTTAATGAGGAATGAGTTGATTGCCAAACAAAAACTACATTAAAATAAAAGACTCTTTAAGGGGATAATAATGAACAAAAGGGTTGTCGATTGGAGTGCAAGTCTGTTTCTGAAACTGGGAACGAGGTAGGACCCACTAACCTCATATTTGCCTGGGTTAGTCAGTGTAGGATGCTCTGACAAATACCTGGGGAAGAAAAAAAACCTTAAAATTGGGAAGGATTTATTTTGGGTCAAGGTTTTAGTCCAGGATGGTTGGCTGGTTCCATTCTTTTAGGCCTGTAGCAAGGCAAAACCATCATAGTGGAAGACCATGGCAGCAATGGAAGGATGCCCACATCATGGTAGCCAGGATGCAGAGATGTAGAAGGTGGGCCCATGGAAAAGATGTGACTTTCAAAGGCATGTCCCTGGCTGCCCATTTTCTCTGATCAAGGCCGCTGCCTTTCACAGACTCCGATTTAGTTATGAGAATTCATGGATGCATTAATTCATTGATCGGGGCCCTCCCCAAAGCCAAACAAAGGAAGGTGCAATGAGGAAGGATACGACATTTTATTAAAATGCTACCGAGGGTTGGGGCAACGGCTCAGTAGGTGAAAGAAATTATTAGACAAGCATGAGGAAGCTGAGTTCAAATACTCAGTAAGAAACTGGGTGTGGCCACATGTACCTTTGTGTAGTTGGAACAGGAGGATTGCTGAGGCTTGCTGGCTGCAATCTCACTTCCAGATTCAAGACCCTGTTTCAGGGATGTAAGTCAGAGAGTGATAGAACAGGACCCCTAAAGTCCTCCTTTGGCCTTAGGCATGCATGTGGGCACACATGCACACACACACACACACACACACACACACACACACACACAATTTAAATGCAACCAGCTGAGACTACCACATAATGAGAATCTCACATGTAGCATTCTCACAATAAAAAGAGTTTTTCTTCAAGGTCAGTTCAAAGATTAAAAACATAAATACCTTTTAAAGTGTTCTGGGCTTTTTGTTGGGGGGTGGGGAGGGGGGTATTTGTTGCCACAGTTGTTTGAACTGATTGTCTGGGCCCAAGATGAGAACACTCGTGCTGCTATCCTGGAATTCTGAATTCCACACCTTGCAGGAGAATGTGCTTTTCCCATTCTGCCCAGTTTGCTGCTGTGTGAACCGGAATACACACCGTGTTAGAGAACCCATATTTTCTTATCATCTTGTTGATTTTCTTTTAAGGTGCCATTTTTCTTGCTTCTAGTCTCAATGGTCTTATTTGTGAAGAAACCTAATGCTGACTCGCTCTAGAGAGACCAGGGTGGGGCAGGAGATATCTATTACCTGAAATATCTGGCAGGCCCCTACGGGTATTTTGTTTATTCATATACTACACATGAAAGACGATCCTTCACCTATTCATAAAGGATTTGGCAATGCTGCTATTGCCTAGCTGGCAAAGCTGGGAAGGCATTTCTTTGGAATTGAACACTTCCTCCACTTCTAGATGTTGGAACAGCAAGCGATTTAATTTGCCAACAAACTATGAATAATGATAACAAACGATGATGTTTACTGTAAGACGCTTTTGTAGTAATGGAACCAAATAAAAGGCAGGAAGAGAGGCTGTGAGGAGACGCTTGACAAAGACCCACTGTCTAAGGGGAGAGCTGTGGGCCAGGTACCAGACTT